AATCCACACATTCTCCCACCCATACTCTCATCGTTTAATGAAAGAAGTTAGTAAAATGTCTTTGATTGTTTTAGTTGGTTCTCAACGTGGTAAATATACAGCAAGTGGTGGTCGTGTTCAACATATGACAGGTTTGAAAATAAATAAATCTTTATTAGCACTTAGAGAGTGTATACGTGCATTGAGTCGTGATGATGGTAGTCATGTACCATGTCGTCATTCAACATTAACAAAAGTATTAAGAAATTCATTTATTGGTGATAAATCTGAAGTTTGTATGATTGCAATGATTTCATCAACATATTCTGATGTGGAAAATACAAGGAATACATAATGTTATGTAGATCGAGTTAAAAAATGAAGAGCCGGAGATAATTTAAATGAAAATAATGAAATATGAAAAGGTTTGATCAACTCTAAATACATATGTGGAAATAACAATTTATTGTGTTTAGTTTTACCTATTGATGATGATAAAGAAAATCGATGTCGTCATCATCTATATCATCGTGATGGTTCTGTATCATCAAATGATAGCACAAGTTCATCATCTAATGATCTTCGAGTTGATGATGAACAAGATGAAGCATCATCATCTTTATATGCAGCACAAGTTGAACATTTACAAGATTATGAAGAAGCTTTATTTGATTCTTGTCGAGATATTTTAATCAATAAAGAAGCAACACTTACAAAACAATTACGTAAAATTGTTAAACAAGTATAAGATACAATTGATTATGATCAAGAAAAATTTGTTAATCATATGCGTGAAAATCTACTTGTGCGACAACGAATTTTTAATGAGTTACAAACACGTTTACAAGGCTTTGCTGATTGTCTTCAACAAGAACAACAAGTGGCTGCATCACAGAGAAATAAAAAACAACAAACAAATTGTAATACATAATTTTTTTATTTTCTTTTTCTGACTTTTCGTTGTATGTATTTGTCTTATGATATAAATTTTATACAAAATATATATTTCAAAACAAAACCAGTGAATAATCAATAAATAATCACTGCTTCAACATTTTATAATGAAATAATTTATTTTTATTAAAATTGAATAGAATAATATAAGTTTCATCAAGATCGGATGCTTGAAAAATAATTTTTTTTCTGAAGAAGCTTTAAACGAAAAAAAATCCATAAAATTGAGAGCGATACATCAGTTGTAATACTTTACAAAATCGAGAAAAATTCTTCCGACAACCTGTGAAACTCAACTATACAGTTTTCAAACTTGAGTTAAATCACAAACTTATAGATATTAGGAAAACAAAAAACAAAAGAATTTCAGTTTCAGTCTAATAAGTAATTATTGAATGTCTTGATAATCATCCATATAATTCGGAACTTCGTGAATACACACCAGACACTCCACCAACAACTAAGACTTGTCCATTCATTAGTGTCGATGCTGTATGATCCTGTCGTCCAGTGCTCATGCTACCAGTCACTGTCCAGGCGCCTGTTGATGGATCGTACAGCTCTGCACTAGCCATATAGCTACTAGGACCAGTGCCACCTGCAACTAAGACTTTTCCATTATTTAGTAGCGATGCTGTGTGATAGTATCGTCCATTAGTCATATTTCCAGTGGTGATCCAAAGTCCTACTGATGAATCGTACAACTCGGCAGTTCGCAAGTAGGCACTACTACTCAATCCACCAGTAACTAAAACTTTTCCATTGTTTAGAGTTGATGCCGTATGCCACTCTCGTCCTGTACTCATGTTACTAGTAACTGTCCAAACGCCTGTTGATGGATCATACAACTCTGCAGTTTGCCAAATACCGCTAGTGCCATATCCGCCGGTAACTAACACTTGTCCATTTGTTAGTAGCGATGCTGTATGATGCCATCGTCCATAATTCATGCTGCCAGTATTATTCCAATATCCCGTTGATGGATCGTACAGTTCTGCAGTTTGTTGATAATTACTGGTACCAGATCCTCCAGTAACTAAGACTTTTCCATTGGTTAGTATGGATGCGGTATGCCAATATCGTCGAGCATTCATGCTGTCAGTTATTGTCCAAAGACCTGTTGATGGATCGTACAGTTCGGCACTATTCTGAAAACCAGCCGTGCTAGCACCACCAGCAACTAAGACTTTTCCATTGGTTAGTACGGATGCGGTATGCCCGTATCGTGGGAAACTCATATTACGAATTGGTGTCCAAAGTCCTGTTGATGAATTGAGACCATGACGCAAATGAATTACAAAATAATTCAAAAGTATCATTTACAGTATCGACTAGGATCTACCAGGGTCTACCAGGGTCTACCAGGGTCTACCAGGGTCTACCAGGGTCTCCAGACTCCACTAGAGTCCACCAGACTTTCGCCGCACCAACAGCGAGAGATATGATGTGAGTCGTTTCGCGGCACCCACACCAAGAGAGATGTGGTGTGAGTCGTTTTCCGTCACCCACACGTAGACCCTGGTAGACCCTGGTAGACCCTGGAGACCCTGGTAGAGCCTGCTTTAACAGTTTTGAATTATTTTGTAATTAATGTTATTTGAATTACTTTGTAATTCATTTGCGTCATCCAGTGGATGAATTGTATAGTTCGGGAGCATTCATAAAGGCACCGTTAAATCCACCAGCAACTAAAACACTTCCATCGGTTAGTCTCGATTCTGTATGATATTCTCGTGAGAAAGTTATGCTGCTCGTATTTGACCATGCTAAAAAACAAGTTTCAATGCAGTAATCTAAAGCTTTGTATGAGTCAATTTAACACCGTTTATAGAACCATTTTTATCCACCCAGGTGTCGCATTTAAATGAGTTATTGAAGCGAAAGCAAGACTAAGCCCTCAACGATAGTACTTGATTGAACATCTCTTGTTCAAATATATTCTTACTGATTTTTGCTACAGAGGGTCGTGTTTTAGAACGCTGATGACAGTTTCGGCACGTTACACTCGATATCTACTATAATAACAAAACAAAACTTTTGCATCTTTCATTTAAGCATTTTCTCGTGCTATGGAACTTGCAATACAATCATTGCATTCTAAGAAGAAAGTTAATTGTTTATAGAAATTTTTGCTATGATAATCTTTTCTATCATTAGTCTTAAACTCTTTCATTTTTGACATGAAGTTACTTCTGTTCAGTCAGTTTCATATCGTTCTAACTTTTACACAAACATGATTAATTTTTTCGATAGACCTTTTCGAGGTGTCAATTGCAACATTCGATGAGAATCATACTTCTATGTCAATTCTTGAGTTTTTATTCTTTTATAGATCGAAAGTACAGATAAATCTTCATCAAGCATTCATAATAAATATGAACTATTGTTCTTCCAAGGATGATCGTCTAGCTAATTCATAAAAAATTAACACATTTGGCACTACTTTTGTCTATTTAATATTTACTACTGATTTTGTAAAACTACAAAATAATGTTTTATCAAGATGAAAAAGACTTATTTCTCTAGATAGGAGCTAAAATTTTCTTAAATATCACACGCTATGAATAGTGATCGCTTCGATATGATGAAGTACCTAATCAACATTTAGAAAGTTTGGATGTGCCTGTGAATGAACTGAATATCTGTATCCTCAGCCACAACTATCCTAGGTCAAACTGCTAAGTATTCTCTTCATTTAGCCATAAGCATGCCAGTTTGAACAAAAAGAATAAGCTTACTTGACGAGCCGGTTGTTGTGATCGCTGTAGTAGAAGTCGTGCTCGTGTTTGGGCTTGTGATAGAAGTCGTTCCATTGCCCGTGGTAGTAGTCGCTGCAGTAGTTGAGGCTGTGGTTGCTCCAGTAGTTGTGAAAACACTTGTTCCAACAGTTGCTCCAGTGATTGTGGAAGCAGTCGTTGCAGTGGTTGTAGATCCTAGCATAGTCATTAGTACAATGGCTCGCATGAAAAACAAACAGCAGCAACATTAGAGCAACAATATGTGTTTCGTACATTGTCAAGTTTGCGTAATCAGAAGTTAGGATTTCGAAGAATACGCACACTTACAGCAAAGCGTATATATGTCAATCTTTTTATATGATATCCTTAAAGTAAACCAGTGTTTGGCTAAAACTGTTTCCGTAAAATTTAATCTGAATCTGTAAGCTTTTTTAGTAAATAGAAGTCTTTACTCATCATCACGTACTTGCTTGACAGACCTACATTCAACATGAAAAATCAGTCTCGGCATACCCGTGCTTGTAGTTACGGCTTGTTTTGTGAATGCAAGAATTAGTGCATATACGACAACAACCATAACCCCAAACACAAATGCACTAATTATTGGTATGATGCAACTAGACGCTGGACATGTTTTCATATCGATTTTAACGGCACCTCTCCTTGAAGCCCTAAAAAAATAACTGTTCATGCAGTCAGAAACGGTTCATCCATCGCGATGGATAAGAATCAATCCTCTGAGTATTACTAACTTGCCGAAATCATCGCATGATGATTCCCGTTTGCTCAATTTTGATGGCATTCGTGATAAAGAATGTCCATTCACAGGAGTTATAATTGCTTGAGATCGACCCATATATATAGAAAAACAATGGTTTTGATTCGAATACTGACAGTGTATCTTTGAAGAAAAAAATTTATTTTTATTTAGAGTCGTTGATTAACAGATCAATCCAACTAATGCTTCGATAATATGCGGAAGAATCTAAGTACCTGAAATGGATTTTCGACTCAAATTTTCATTAGTAGGTCGAGCGTTTGTCTACGTCAAAACAAATCTTGCGACAATATTTCGAATTTTCAATACTACTCTCTGACGAACAAGATTCAATAATATTAAAGTCTCCTCTCTCTGATGAATTATTTTTCTTATTAAATTCACTGTAAAGGTTTCATTCATTGTATATTAATAAGATGAAAAAAAAGATTGCCACTACCAGCGAAGCGACTATATTGTTCATTTTTCAATCATTCCTGCAACCTACGAAGTGTCGATAAACAATGCTGGCACTTCTTGTATTATTCGATCAAAGCTATATTTTAAGATTTCATACTGACAAGCCAACAAAGAAGTTCAAAATTTCGTATTGAAATCGATGAATAGAGTATAACTCTATTGCACTTTTTTCATTAAGCCTCTTCAATCATGACAAATTCGAAATTCAATTCGTGTCTCTATAGCATCAGTTTCTGCTCCATTGTTTATTGAAAAGTTGAATTATTTAAATTACTCAGCAGAGAAGGTGGGTGTGGACCACTGTTGGAGTTAAAATTAGGGTAGTTATAACTCGAGTTATAACTTTTGAGTTATAACTGATCAACTTTTTGAAAAATAGTTTTAACTCCAACAGTGGTGTGGACGTTCGAGAAGGGAATACCCACCCGCACGCACGCCCACACCCGTACCCACACCCACACCGACACCCACACCCACACCCACACCCACCCACACCCTTATCGATTTTACTATATAGGTTTAATAACATTGAATGAAATCATAATATGAAAATAAAAGAAATAGAATTGAAATAATTGTTGGTTATGTTTTAATTTTTGAAGAGTATTGAACATACAATTAATTATTGAAAGAGGCACTCTAAAGCTAATATTAAATCTTTGATGAAGATATTCTATGATAATTGATGATGATAAAGAATAAGTTCATTATATAAATTTATATAAGTCAACCTATTCTGAACTATGAGAGCGATCTATTTGAGGTAGGAAATATAGGTTCATTTTGATTAGTAGAAACAATATGAATATCATAATGTCAAAGATAATCTTCCATAACAGTCAAAGCAGATTTATTTGATGTTAGTATTTAAAAGTATATATGATTATTTCAAAATATCTATTTCTTTTAAAACAAGAATACGTTGTTTTTTCGCTTATCGAATATATGAATATATGAAAATCGTTAAAAACTTATCTATTTTTTCCTATGCATGATGAAAAACGATCAGAATGTAAAATCATACCTTGCAGTTACTAATGAATAGCATTCCATAGAAATGTACTGTTCTTCTTCTTTATATCATTTAATAAATACTGATTTAGCAAGAATAAGAAGAGAAATGGAAAGTTTTAGATGTATAACTTCTATTTTACCTGTACGAATGAGTGAAATGAAATTACAATAATAATTATCTTTTATTTGTTCTTTTCTCTTTCAAAGAAAAATAATGATCGAACAAATGAATAACGACAATCGAGTCTAGAAAAAAAATGTCCCACATTGTTAACAAAAAGGAAAGACTATACACAGAGAAACAATATAAGAAAAGTCATATTCTGTTTTGTAAAACATTATTTCCTATTGAAATTTGTGATAAAATCACAAGAACAACAATAACTAAATATTAATAATGTAGAATCTGTGCAATCTAATTGAGTATTTTCGAGAAAAATATTGCTATGATATAAAATGATTTGAATTTGATGATACTCTCTATTCATCAATCGGTGTGGTTGAAAATCTATATGCATGCAAAAGAAACAATGGTTCAAATGTAAAACAAATATTTAAGTAAAATGATATTGACTGAACATGTCAATTAGAAAAATTTAACCCTTTCGAGTCGATTCGATTTTCATAGAGAGTAACATGTGACTCAGAATAAATGGTCGTATTTCGCATCTACTATTTTAATCTCTAAATAAATTTTATTAGAAAACAACATATACCACAAGATGCACCGTAAAAAGTTATACGGTCTAAATTGTGAAGCTTATTTCAATTGTGTACTTTTTGTTTTCCAAAAAAAAGCAAAACTTTGGGCGACCAATTTTTAAGGTTGCAAAAATTGATCGTGCAGAATTTTGCTTTTTTTGAAAACAAAAAAAAAAAATAAAGCAAAAATGTTTTATAGGTACCTTTTTTCATGTTGTCAGTAATAATAAAAAATGCTGTCATATGACAGTATATCACTAGAAATTTCTTTTGAAACACCTCAGAGCTCTTCAGAAATATTTAAAAGCAAAACTGTGGAGCTCTCTAAGAAGTTGAAAATCACTATTTGATAGTAAATCATATGTTGCACACATCAGACACACATAAGAGCCGTTTTAAAATAACATATTTTTGAAACAGCATTCTTATTGATTGGGCTATGGTATACTTGGACATATTAGTGAGGAATTTTATTGCAAATGTCAATGATTCTAAGCCAAATATGTCTTTGTGTAACGCAAACAGGAAAATTGTCTTGGTTTGTGGAGTTTGCGAACCAGCCGAAAAGACTTTTCTAGTGATATACTGTCATATGACAGCATTCTTTTTATTATTATTGACAACATGA